ACCTGACAAGTTGAGAAGACGCAATTCCTTCAAAACGCTAATAGATTGAGGGATTTTACCATAAATTTTATTTCCAGAAAAATCAATAGCTCTGAAGTCTTGCCGGATCCGCTCAAAGCTCATTTCTACTCCTTTATTCACTATTTCCATCGACTGATAGATTAGAGAATAAGCCGGAAGACTTGCCATGTACTCGCCATTTCCTTCGGTTAGTGTGGTCATATCACGCCAATTGGAAAAATAGTGAGGTGGGAGAGATCCAGTGAAGTCATTGTGTGATATATCGATGACCCTTAAACTCTGAAACCCAATGGACATGTTGGCATGATACAACGGTCCATAAAACTTGTTTGATCTGAAGATGAGAACATTTAGTGATGGTAGAGATCCCAACCATGATGGAAACTTGTCTTTGATTTTGTTGCTTTCCACATTCACAAATTGTAGAGCTATGCAATTGATCAAAGACTTTGGAAAATTTCCCTCCAGCTGGTTGCCACTAACGTCAAATAATTGTAACTTGGTAGCATTGACAAATATATCTGGAAGAGTTCCACTGAAGTTGTTGTTCCGTAGGGTTAACTCGGTAAGAGAAACAGTGAGATTCCTTAAACATGGAGGAATCGAGCCGCTGAAGAGGTTGTTGGACAAATCTAAAAGACGTAACCATTTAAGTTTGCATATCCAAAGAGGGAACGGTCCTCGAAATGAATTTGAACTCAAATCCAACCCTTTGATCAATGTTTCTTGTGAAGAGTTTTCCAAACTGCTGAATGAATTGTGAGAAAGCGTCACTCCCGTTAGTCTCCATACCCAACTTGGTACTTCACCTACCAACTTGTTGTTGGAAAGACGAAGAAAATCGAGGTTGACTAACTTTGATAAAGATTTAGGGATTGGTCCAGTGAAATTGTTGAAGCTAAGATGTAATAGTGCGAGGTTGAGAAACTTAGATATGGATTCAGGGATTTGGCCATCGAATTTGTTACTATTAAGGTTTAGAGCCCAAAGCTTAGATGATGAAGATGTATTCACAAACTCTATAGGTCCTGTGAATTGGTTTTCTTTCAATATAACTGTTCGTAGCAAAGGAATAGAGAACAAAGATTTAGGAAAAGGCCCGTGAAATGAGTTTGAACCAACATCAAAGTACCTCAAATTGTAGAATCCACTCATATAAAATGGAAGCGTGGAGGTGAAGTTATTATAAGCTAGGTTTAAATAAGAAAGCTTGGTTAAATTGGCAAAGGAAATAGGAATTTTGCCACTTAAACTATTTAAGTCAAGTGACATGACTCTTAGCTCCTTCAGGTTTCCTATAGAAGCCGGAACTTCACCTACCAAATGATTATTCGAAAGTTCAAGACTTATGAGACGAGAAAGGTTTCCTAATGAAGAAGGAATCTCTCCTACGAGATCGTTATACCCAAGACTAAGGTTTCTTAGATTGTTTAGATTGCCTATTGAAGCCGGAATCTCACCTACTAATTTATTCCAAGAAAGATCAACAAATGTGAGACGAGAAAGATTTCCTAGTGAAGAAGGAATCTCTCCTTGTAGAAAGCAATTACTAAGGTTTAGGTGACGAAGATATTGGAGTCTAAAAAGGCTACTATTGGTTTTCAAAGAGGTGTTGAGAGATGTGTAAAGGTCGAGTGATATCACCTGGCCAGATTTATCATCGCACATGACACCCTTCCAAAAACAGCAATCACTACTCTTATTCCACGGACTTGGGTTCAACTCATCGATCGGAAACTCGTCTCTAAATTCCAAAAGAGCATCCCTTTGGTCGTGGCGGCAAAAGTGAAGCGTAGGAGAAGCAAGAGTAGGGATTAGGAGGGAGAAATAGATGGTAATAATACCAAAAAAGCAATAACAATGGCTTAGAATCATCATATCTGTTTTTTGAGTTTGTGTTGCAAGTAAATATTAATGGATTATGTATGCTTCATTGGCTCTATTTAAGAAGAAGAAACTCTTTAGTGGATTTCGGTTGATTTTGTCAAAATCTTCAACTCGCTTTATCATCAATGAGACTTGTGTCACGTGTCTCGAAATTTTCCACGTAAACCCTATTATATTGACTCATTCAATCTTCTTTAAAATATCTCTTAAAGTTTAGCCAATTTCTATTCCTAAACGAAATATATCATCGTTCTTCATAGATTTCTATAGATGGCTAGATTATTTGACAAATCAATAAAAGACTTAGATATTAACACTGCCTTTTAACTCCGGCAAAATACACTGATTTCTGCATCAACAAGCTAATTAAAAGGTAGTGTATCAAGCTAAGAGGAAGAAATTGACTCAAAACCTTGTGGCCTGTGTGGTTGGTTTCCAAATTGATTGCCTGTGAAGGCCCATTAATACGAATGGCCTACATACATGTGCTCATCTTAATCCATGATAACATAGTCATGCATATATATAATACAACTACATTTATTACAAAGAAAGAGTCAAATGGTTAATATTTTAATCCATAATAATCCAACTCATTTGAATCTATCAAATATACTAGAGGATCCAACTCCATCTATAGCAGTCAAATCTTCGGCTAAAAATAATTATCCTCCAAAAATTTCCTTGCATAGTCGTGGATAGGCCTGGGCAAAAAAAACCGCTAACCAAATAACCGACCGAACTGAACCGAAAAAAACCGAACCATATCCGAACCGAAGTTTTTAAAATAACCGAATGGTTTGTAAAATTCCCTATCCAAACTAACCGAAACCGAACCGAACCGAACCGATAACCAAATGGTTAACCGAAATATCCAAAAACCTATAAAATACCCAAAAATAATATCCAAAACTATAATTATAAACTCAAAATATTAATTACTTTTAGAATCATATAAATCAAATACTTTAAATAATCAAAATATCCAAATATTTTTTGTTTTATTTGTCAAAGTTAAATACTCTTTTACAAAATTGAGTGAAATTCTAATTTTATTTCTAATATTTTTCCTTTTTTGTATTTTATTTTTCTATTTTTTCGGTTAATTTCGGTTAGTTTCGGTAAATTTCGGTTATTTTGGATAAAAATCCGAACCAAACCGAACGTGATAAAAGTTTGGTTAGTTACGGTTATCTATTTAAATATCCAAACCGAACCAAACCGAAAGGTAACCGAACCGAACCAAACCGAAAAATCGTAAAATATCCGAATGGTTATTATATTACCATATCCAAACTAACCGAAACCGAACGCAACCGAACCGAAACCGAATGGTTAACCGAATGCCCAGGCCTAGTCGTGGAAGCAATCCACTGTTTGTCCTCCTCAACCAAATGTGAAAGCCATTCAGAAGTACAAACATGAAAGAATAAAAAGGATTTTGCAAAATAATTAAACAAAAAAAAACACCTTTTTAGCGCCAAAGGATAAGAAATCATTTGCCAACAAAACCAACGAAAATTCTTCGAGTAGTATCAGTGGGTAGGGCCACCAGGAGTAAACGACTAAAGCATGTGTGAGAAAAAGACGAGAGAAACTGTTGCTTAATTTTGAAATCTCTCTTCATCTATTATTCTCATGCAAACCATTAATCTTATCTTTACGGGAGAAAAATAATAGTAGTATTGATTTTTGAGTCCTGATTACTACTAGTGACATCGAATGATTACAATTACTAATAAGTAATACCTAAAGCTTTCATCACGCGTCTGCTTAAACATTGGTAAATATATTATACCCATGTTAATCATTCTCTTAACTCATAGTATAATGTCAGAAGAACAATGACATCGAGCAGACACGTTGTCCCCTTTTTATTCGCTTTTGTTATTACACAAACTGAAAAAAGGAATGTCCCATGAAAAAAAAAAGCAAATAAAGAGAGTAATATAATAAAAACATGCATAAAAAGAGGGACAAATAAGAAAGTGGATTAAGGCATCAATTTCGTCTCCATTACACTAAACACACTTTTGATTAAGTAACAAGACTCGGCGCCGTTATCTTGGCGCCATTCACGCTTCACTCTTATCTTTTGTCTCCTCTTTTTAAATTCAAAATCCCTTAATCCCTAACCTAATTTTACTATGCACTACCTAAACCTAACTATACCCATATATGAACACATTATCTACTACAATACATCCAATTTACCCGACTCGTATGTTTATACTTTATAGTAACTAGTAACTGTAAAAATAACAAACCTTCGGTTCAATATTTTTACAAAAAGGGACATTTTCACCATTTTTAGGTATGAATGAAATGAAACGTTAGTTGTTTTTCTAGAATCTATTTTTGATGTTAAATGAAACTTTATTACAGTTAATGTTGAATAGTGGAGAAGATAAATCACTAAGTACAGTATTTATTAACAAAATGAATGCACATTAATTTGAAATAAGATTGCTCAACTTATTAACTCCTACGAAAAGATTTGATTCCAACAAAATGCAAATTACATAGATATCACAAAACTGAAAACTCCTCGTCTTTTTAGAAAAAAAGTCACACTTTTGCATTTGGCATTTGACTATAACAGTATATTTTCGAGAAGACGCAAAGTCATTACGTGCGTTTATATTTCGTTCCATTCATGTACCAATACTACTTCTTAGGAAATAGGAGACTATTAAGACTTTCTTGCTTCCCAATGCCCCTACTAATATCAAAACCTAGTTTAATTTATTCCGTTTTTCAACACTTTAAAGAAAAGATTTAACAAATGACATATAAGAAAAACGTAAAGAGGAATCTGAATGGACAACAAAGGTGAAACGACTAAAGTTTAACAATAGACTAAAAAGAGGATTTGGTTAAGCAATATTAAGGTATAAACTAAACCATAAAATAGTAAAAAAAAGAGTATTTAGATTGGAGAAATTAAGGTTACTTTGTTTAGGAACAGCACGTTGATAACCAAAAAGCCATAATTAACGCTTCCATCAGCGCAGGATCCTTCTCTCTCCTATCTCTCTTATCTCTCTGTCTCTACCTCTCTGTATATATATGTGGACCTTCACGTCATAGATTCGTACCTCAAACCTCAAAAGAAAATTAAGTTCTCTGTCTTTGGACAATGACTTCTCCTTTCTTCTTTGTTTTCCTTCTCTCGTCTCTTCTCATAAGCAATGTTGATTCCAACCCAAATTACAAAGAAGCTCTCTCCAAGTCATTGCTTTTCTTCCAAGGTCAGCGATCCGGTCCTCTTCCTAGAGGCCAACAAATTTCCTGGAGGGCTAGCTCTGGCCTTTCTGATGGCTCCTCTGCTCATGTACACACCCTAAACCATTTAAGCTGTTATAGATATTATCTATCTCACTGACATTGATAACTAATTAAGCAAGAAAATTATACGAATTGCAGGTGGACTTAACCGGTGGGTACTATGACGCAGGAGACAACGTCAAGTTCAATTTCCCAATGGCGTTTACCACCACGATGCTCTCATGGAGCGCACTGGAGTACGGTAAGCGGATGGGTCCTGAACTACAGAACGCACGTGTGAACATCCGTTGGGCCACGGATTATCTGCTGAAATGTGCTAGAGCCACTCCCGGAAAGCTTTATGTTGGGGTAGGAGATCCTAATGTTGATCACAAATGCTGGGAACGGCCTGAGGACATGGACACACCTCGTACAGTTTACTCTGTATCCCCTTCTAACCCTGGTTCTGATGTCGCAGCTGAAACAGCAGCAGCTCTGGCTGCAGCTTCTATGGTTTTCAGAAAAGTTGATTCTAAGTATTCGCGTTTGCTTATCGCAACAGCTAAGAATGTGATGCAGTTTGCCATTCAGTACAGGGGAGCTTACAGTGATTCCCTTTCTTCATCCGTCTGTCCTTTCTACTGCTCCTACTCTGGTTACAAGGTCTGCTTTCATATGAAACTAAACCACTCTTACCACTACATCAGATCCTCATTTTAAAATGTGAATTTATGAACACAGGACGAGCTGATGTGGGGTGCGTCATGGCTGCTGAGAGCAACGAATGACCCGTATTACGCAACCTTCATAAAATCGTTAGGAGGTGGAGATCAGCCTGACATCTTCAGCTGGGACAATAAATATGCTGGTGCCTATGTTCTTCTGTCACGGGTTTGTCTCTCTGCTAATAAAAACTCAGAGCACATACATAGCTTTTAGCATCACACTATCTGACTCACTAATTCACAAACAAATCTGTTTACTTTTGGCAGAGAGCATTACTTAACAAAGACAGCAACTTTGAACAATACAAGCAAGCAGCTGAGAATTTCATCTGCAAAATCCTTCCAGATGCTCCAACTTCCTCTACCCAATACACTCAAGGTGACCTAATTCATGATCTCGAACACAAATTGCTAAACAACAACCTCTTCATGCTTACTAATCATATGTTTTACCAATTACAGGAGGATTAATGTACAAGTTACCTCAAAGCAATCTTCAGTACGTAACCTCCATAACATTCTTGCTCACGACTTATGCCAAATACATGAAAGCCACAAAACACACATTCAACTGCGGAAACTCCGTTATCGTCCCAAACGCCTTGATAAGCCTATCGAAGCGACAAGTTGATTACATACTCGGAGATAACCCAATCAAAATGTCGTACATGGTTGGATTCGGATCCAATTTCCCCAAAAGAATCCACCATAGAGCATCTTCGCTTCCTTCACACGCACTTCATTCCCATTCCTTAGGCTGCAATGGCGGATTCCAATCGTTCTACACTCAAAACCCTAACCCTAACATTCTCACAGGAGCAATCGTAGGAGGTCCAAATCAAAACGATGGGTATCCAGATCAGAGAGATGATTACAGCCACGCAGAACCGGCGACTTACATCAACGCCGCATTCGTCGGACCTTTGGCGTACTTCGCCGCCGGTCGTTCGGCTTGAAATTGATTCCGCCACCGCCACCGCCACCGCCACCACCACGTTCTCCGATGTGTAGTTCCATTGTTAGTTAAAGATCCGTTGGCCTAAGCCTAACGTGAAAATCAGAAAAGGACAAAGTAATTTAAATGTAAAACTCTTAATGGGCTAAGACCCAATATGAATGGACCCGAAAGAAATATTTCTCGTGGTCTTATTTAATTCTTTTACGCGTTTGATAAATATTTTAAATAAAGCCGTTATAAGAGACAGCAAAAACGCAGCGTATTGATCAAATCGGTTTGGTTTTGTGTTCGATTTTTCCGACCTAAACCGGTGACCAGTTTGGGTCTCCGAAACCTTAATAATACTGTATAAGAGATGTCTCTTTCGGCCCATTTTTTATTTATCTCAAAAATCTACCCGCCCTTTTATTTTAATTTTTTTTTTTTTTTTTTTGATATACCCGATCGGCTGATCCGGTCAGCCTCGTTAGGAACGCACCGGAGTGCTACAGAGTGGACTCACTACCACCCCGAGGGATGGGCTACCACACTGCCTGATCCGAGTTTGGAAAACTTTCCGACTAATGCCCGGGGGTAGCTGGATCGCCTGTTACCAGACTACCAGATAAACCGTCTGGGCCGAAGCCCAAACCCAGACTTCCCAACAAAGTGTTGATAACAGCGAGGGAGGAAGATCGAACCCGGGTTCGGGGATTTTACCCTCAACGCCGGACTCGCCCTACCACTCGCCCACCACCTTGCGGGCAATCTACCCGCTCTTTTATTTTAAAATTTTTATATTCTTGCAATAGACTGATAGTGATATCCAGGATTAAGTCTAAAACATAGCATAACCAACAAATCGTCCGATTAATCACAGAAGTAAACCAGTCTGACAAATAAAAAAATTGTCTATCGGATCTTTTAACTAAAACTTAGCACCGGACTGAAAATTTGTCTATTGGATCTTTAGCCATCATGTATATATAGAACCTATGAATCGGTAACGGTTGCTTGACAAATTTCAAAAGTATTATGTACAGAAGATCTCCACTCTCAATTGGAATCTCATCCAATAATTGGTTACTAACAAATTTACGCTATACAACATAACACGAAAAACATCACATTTATTAAAATTCACAAAAAGTCCAAATATTTTGTTTAATGAGAAGCCCATTAATCTATGTGGTTATGGTTGTCTAGCAAAATAGATTAAAGCTTAGTGATTCTTTAAAAAACTTTCTATTTCTTTACTTTCTTGCACCTAATAAAATTCTAATAAGCTATTTTATTTTCAGTTTTGGATTCCATGTTAATAAGCTTATTTGAGCATAAATTTATCTTCCTTTGGTTTATCATACAACCTTTATATGTTACATGAATGCGTTTCTGGTAAAAAAAATATAAGAAGGTTGCTGGTTTCACTTGATAACAATCGCCAATACCGTTATCGAGATGAAGAGCTGATGATAACTCCAATTTTGCAAGAATAGAATTTTACTTAAGAGTAAAAAAAATTGATGTCCTAAAATTTCTAAATACCAGAATTTAACTTGACTAGTTTACTTGTAAATAAAAGAGAAGGAGGTCGGCCAAAGGAGAGGTCGACGCAAATGAAAACGCCAGGTGTCTGAGAAGAAGGGAGCAATCGAAGCTGGAGATCTCTTTACGCCACGTCATTTTACTCAACATCATGTGGGACCCATTGCCTCAATTCCCGACCGTCATTCTCCTTCTCTACCGTTCACTAGTTTTCCTAATTTTGTATTTTTTTGAATTCAATTATTTGATTTTCAAAATTTTATCATTGTACCAAAGCAATCTAACATATGAATGAAGTAAGAACTATTTCACATTGACAAAAATATACGTTAACTTATTCAACTTTTCAAACTTGCTTCTTTTGTTTGTTACTATATACGATAACACTGTTATAGAAAGGTAACTCATTGATCGTTGATTTTAAATTGGATGAAATAGAAAACAAATTATAACTTATGTCTTAAGTAATATTGGTACGGTGGGTTTTACTCTAATAATTAAATTAGTGATTGTGGACAAACGGAAAATCAGTAAACCAAAATTACATATTTTTATTGATTGATAGATAATGACCTCAAATATTGTTGGTAGATTTTTTTTTAAACAACTCTATCGTAACTATAAAATAAAACTCTGTCATAACAATAAAGATAACTCTATCGCAACTGTATTTTTCATATATGTATGATAGATTTTTTTTAAAAAAATTCTTTTAGTTTTTAAAAGTCTTGCAATTATTTTTTTCGTAGTAATTTTGCTTTCTCGAGGTATAATAATTTAAATACAATAAAATAAATTGTATATCTGGCCAATACTATAGTGGCTATAACTACATCCATGTCCATTAACCCCACAAATGAATTGGCAATTCCCCTAAATGTAATGAATCTAAGCAAATCAAATCAAAATTGTAAAAAGAAAAAATGTTCATGTATAAAAATATTTGAACATCGGAAATCTTATACTAATTTGTTTAGAAATAAAAGAAGGAAATCTAATAATATCTTAAGTCAAAAAGTCAAAACGTAAATATGATAATTTATTTATTTAAGAATGATTCACTTTACAGCTAAGCACATAATTTGATTAGAAGGTAAGATATAGTAAGGAAATAAATTTAAAGAAATTAATTGCAAATTCAAAATGATTGACCCGGTACAATCATCTTATGTGTATATTACACATTTGCTCCAAACTCTTCTCACAGACCCATCTCTGTCCATTGTCGCGGATCAGTTCTGTCGACTCTACAGATTCTTCCGCGGTTTTTCAATTTTTGAAAGTCCCTTTTTGACTCTTCACCTTTTTTTCACCTCAACGGTTAAAAAAACTTGGACTTCTATAAATCCCCTGAAAAAAGTGGGAGAGATTGAGGTGCGTTTCATCGATTGTGATGCAGAGACGAGGTAGATCGTCGGAATTTCATCGACCGGGTTTCATTAGATCGGAGACTCATCGGAGACGTCGGCGTTGAAAAGGGTTTTGTCACGGAGAAACTTCCCGAATCTTTTTCTTCCTTCGGTTTGTCTTCTTCAATCACCGATTCGCTTCTCAGGTAATTCTTACTCCGACTACTTTCTCCTCAATTCTTCTTCTTCTTTTTCAATTTCGTATTCGCAATTGAATCTGGAAATCATTTTCTGGGTCGTTATTTTTTTCGATTTCATTGTAAATTTTGCAGCTTTGAAATCTTGATATAAAATCTTTCGTTTCTCTTGTTATACAATTTGATTTGTTTGTGAATCTGATTGTGCAACGTTATGAACAGGTGTGAACAGTCCATTTAGTTTTTGTTTGGTGATCTGATCTTGGTTGGATGTGAAATGCAAAGATCACGGAGAGCTCTTCTGGTTAGAAGAAGAGTTTCTGAGACTACTTCTAATGGAAGGAATCGATTCTACAAAGTTTCATTGTCTCTGGTTTTTCTCATTTGGGGTCTTGTCTTCTTATCTACATTGTGGATCAGTCATGTTGATGGAGACAAAGGTAACTTTTTGAGTTCCTTATTTGGACAGAATGCAAAACATTTATTAGAATATGGTTAAAAAAAACTGAGCTTTAAGTATGATAATCATGAAACTGTATAGACCATATCTTAAGTGTATCTAAGGCTTACTCTTGGGCATTTGCAGGTAGATCTATAGTGGATTCAGTTGAAAAAGGTGAACCAGATGATGAAAGGGCAAATGAGACAGCTAAGCCTGTTGATGCACCATCACTAGAGTCTGCCTCTGTTCATTCTACTCCTGATTTGAGTCTGGATGATGATATAGCTGCAGCCGGAGAAATCAAAGGCTCAGAAACTATATTGAAGAAAATAGAAGTCGATAATACAATCGTTATCGCAGGAAACGTTACAGAAAGCAAGGACAATGAGTTTGTGAAGCAAAGTGAGATAAATAATAACACAGTTCCAGGGAATGATACAGAGACCACTGGTTCAAAGCTTGATCAGCTATCTCGTGCTGTTCCGCTTGGCCTTGATGAGTTTAAGAGCAGAGCGTCTATTTCTAGAGACAAATCTTTGTCAGGCCAAGTCACTGGCGTTATTCATAGGATGGAGCCTGGTGGGAAAGAGTACAATTATGCAGCTGCTTCAAAAGGTGCAAAGGTCTTATCTTCTAACAAGGAAGCAAAAGGAGCTTCAAGCATCATATGCCGGGACAAAGACAAGTATCTCCGAAACCCGTGTTCTACTGAAGGGAAATTCGTTGTCATAGAACTTTCAGAAGAAACGTTGGTGAACACAATCAAGATTGCAAATTTCGAGCATTACTCTTCCAATCTGAAGGATTTTGAGATTTTGGGCACTTTGGTTTACCCGACTGATACGTGGGTTCATCTAGGGAACTTCACGGCTTTAAACATGAAGCACGAGCAGAACTTTACACTTGTAGATCCCAAATGGGTGAGATATCTAAAGCTAAACTTGCTAAGCCATTACGGTTCAGAATTCTATTGCACCTTGAGTTTACTAGAAGTCTATGGAGTGGACGCTGTGGAAAGAATGCTGGAGGATTTGATATCAATCCAAGACAAGAACATATTGAAACCCCAAGAAGGAGACGCTGAGCAGAAAGAGAAGAAGACAATAAAAGCAAAAGAGTCCTTTGAAAGCGATGAAGACAAGAGTAAACAGAAGGAGAAGGAACAAGAAGCCTCACCAGAGAATGCGGTTGTGAAAGAAGAAGTATCAATTGAGAGAAGAAAGCTGCCAGATCCGGTGGAAGAGATAAAACATCAACCAGGAAGCAGAATGCCGGGGGACACTGTCCTGAAGATACTGATGCAGAAGATAAGGTCGCTGGACGTGAGCTTATCAGTTCTTGAGAGTTACTTGGAGGAGCGGAGCTCGAAATACGGGATGATATTCAAGGAGATGGACCTGGAGGCGAACAAGAGAGAGAAGGAGGTGGAGACTATGAGAGTGGAGATAGAAGGAATGAAGGAGAGGGAAGAGAGTACGAAGAAGGAGGCGATGGAGATAAGGGAATGGCGGATGAGAGTGGAGACAGAGCTTGAGAAGGCTGAGAATGAGAAAGAGAAAGTGAAGGAGAGGTTAGAGCAAGTGTTGGAAAGAATGGAGTGGATGGAGAAGAAAGGTGTGGTTGTGTTCACAATCTGTGTCGGGTTTGGGGCTATATCAGTTGTTGCCGTGGTTCTTGGTAAGGGGAGAGGTCGAGCAGAGAATCCAGGTGGCTTGGCTTGGCTTCTGTTATTGATAAGCTCCACATTCGTTATGTTCATTTTGTCTCTTTGATGAGAGAAGAGTTCTCAGTTTTGGTCTTTCTTTTTGTTTTCTACTGTAGTTTTTATTGTAGAGTTAGCTGAGTCTTCTTTATACCTCAATAAAACTATAGAAGATCACTTATGCTGTACCTATGAGGTTTCAAATACAAGAGTTTTGTAACGTTCAATTGAAGATTAGTATTGTTGTCCCCTAATTAAAAAGGCGGTTAGCCACTCTCTTATACAATTCTGGACCGGTTTGATGAACCGGTTTGGTGAAATTACAATGCAAGAGACACGTGGCAGGCTTAGAAGCGAAGCCGGAAAAAAGTAACCGAAAAAAAAAGGGGTTTAAGAGAAGGAGAGACGACATTGGTCTGGTTTGGTTCGAGTCCCGCGGTGGTAAAGCGACACTACAGGCGAACAGAATGTTCAAGAAGGCGGTGGAGGCTAAGTCTCACCAGCGTCTCTCCGGCGCTGACCGGAAAAAACTCCGCCGCACCGTCCGAAATAGGCTTCCCCTTCTAACCGATGAACTCCTCGACGCAATTCTTCCTCCCAAGGTCTGATTTCTCTTTTTGATTCTGTCATCTGATTGATTCTCGATTTGATTGCGTCGGTACACTGTTGCTTACTTTTGCCATTGATTGTTTCGTCTAGGTTGAAATAACTCTTTCCAAGTTTCAGAATCGAGTACTTGTCTATAGTATTGAAGGTGGATGTCCCATGTTTTTCGATATTGATGGAAGAGGGACTGAGATATTCCCCACAGGTTTCAAACTCATGGCCATATGGATGGAGTAGTTTAGCTTTAATCAATATCAAATTCAAGTTGATTTGCTGTATTTTGTTCCTTCTTCTGCTGCAGTTTTTGCTCTCTGGGAGGCTCCTGAAATGTTACCTTCCTTTATGTTGAAAGGAGGTGAGGTTTCACGGTATGTTTTAGGCGGTGCAGATTTGATGTTCCCAGGTATTTTGATCCCTCCCCAAGGCTTTCCTTCTTTCTCTGCTGGAGAAATATGGGCTGTCAAAGTTCCTGGAAATCTGGCACCTATTGCGGTAAGTCTCTTTATATTTTTGCTAACCGATGTAATTCTTCGGCTTGAGTTACATCATGGTTATGCATGTTTTGAAGGTTGGGTGTACTACAATGAGTAGTGAAGATGCCCTTAAAGCAGGTTTGCGTGGGAAGGCTTTACGGATAACTCATTATTACCGTGACTTTCTTTGGTACATGAGATGCTGGCAGCCGATTGCTTTTTTTCTCTTCTTTTTGCTATCTTTGAAGGAATTCAGTTTCTTACATGCGGAAGGTGTGTTTCACAGGGAATCAGCTGAGGGGCACTACGTTCCAAATGCTGGTTTTATGGAGAATGTTGTCATGGAGGACCCATCGTACCTTGCTTCTGTTTCAGTTGAAGAAATCTCAGACTCTTCAGCTGGTCCTCAGACAAGCACAGAAATTGAAGATGAATCTGGTGATTTGAATAATATTGGGCCTTCAACCTCTGTTACGGATGCTAAGAATGATACTGAAGAACATGTGGTTGGGAGCATGAATGAGCTGAACTTAGCAGATGACGTTTCTGCTAATGAAGCAAATACCGACAAGCAGAATATTCTCTCCCCTGAGGAGGTAGATGACCTTCTTGACCAATGCCTTTTGCAAGCATTGCATACAACACTAAAGGAGAAGGACCTTCCGATCCCAGGAAGTACTCTATGGTAAGAACACCATTCAAATATTTTAGTTACATGGAAAGCCAACTATATTCTGGTATTGGGTTGGTGTCGTACCTACTGTTGTATGCAATCCTTCTTTACCTTGTTGTTTGTTAATGATTGATTGGGTTGTTTTATTATTCTCTGAAGCTCCGTTCGTGTTTGTGTTACTCTTGACTCCGTAAATGACAAGCTAGACACCTGGAATTGTCTGTTTTCCTTCTCCTTTCTAAGTTTGGCTTACAAATATTTTCCTGTGAGTGGTGCAGGGCAAATCATGTATTACCTTGTAGGCCTTCTGGTCTCACACTTGACATTAAGAAGTCTTCCCATAAAAAGCTGTCAAAGTGGCTGCAATCTAAAGCGTCTACTGGAATGGTCAGTTTTCTTACTAATTTCCCTTGTCTTATGGTATATTTTTTTTTGCTTGATTTTATATTTTGTAGAACAGGAGTGTTAGTAGATGTTGTTCGTAGATGTTTAACTGCAAAAAACAACTGGTTTATCAATTTAGGAAACTATTAGTATCAAGTGTTGTAAGCTGTATCTCCTTAAAAGTCTGTATGTAACACATTGGTACATTTACATTTACCCTGATATTCTCATAATTGCTAGTAGATTTGCTTTGGTTTCTTGATTGGCAATTACACTCTGTCACAATCTTTGAAATATATGCGCAGATATCTGTTAAAGAAGACAAGCATAAGAAGGAGATTGTATTGATTTCAGTCAACCGCAGCCACCCAGATTACAAATCCTTCAAGCCAGAGAAAAAGAAAGCAGAAGTCTCTGACTCTCCTGGAGAGCGCTCCACAGGGCAAGCTCAGTCAGAGAAAATGCTTGAAATCATTGAGGTCTATAAACCAAGCATACACAACAGTGCAATATTTGCATCAGTTGGGGAAGACAAAGGAAATCTGTACACAGCTTCTGAAGCCACTGATGTTGTGTTCAGATACATCGAGAAGGAAAATCTGGTAAAGCCAACAAACAAGTCAATGGTGGTGTTGGATCCGATATTATGTGATGCATTGTTCAAAGGAGCTATCAAAAAGGGATCGGCATATCCGTCAGAGATTCACAAAAAGGATGTTGGATCGACGTTTGTAGGGAGGATGCAGCCTAATCACGTAGTCATGAGAGGCGGTGGTGAACCCGTGGTTCGTAAAGGAGCTGTAAAGCCGGTTCAGATAATGACAGAACGAAGACAAGGTAACAAAAAAGTGACAAAGGTCACAGGGATGGAGACGTTCTTGATAGACCCAGACTCGTTTGGATCAGAACTGCAGAAGAAGTTTGCTTGCAGTACTTCAGTTGGAGAACTTCCAGGTAGGTTTAAAATCTATCCTTATTGTTTTGTTCATCTGTGTAAGTGAATAAACTATTTGAGAGATGATTGTTTTGTGTGTTGCTTTCAGGTAAGAAAGGGTACGAGGTTCTGATTCAAGGAGGCGTGATTGATAATCTTGCGAGATATATGGTGGAACACTATGGAGTTCCAAAGAGATACATTGAAGTTCTTGATAAGACTAGGAAATGATTTGTTTTTTCTTTTTCATTTATTTTTGTGTTTTAAACGTCTAATTTTATTATATGGGTTTACATTACTGACTCTAGGGATATGGAACAAATGAGAATAAAATTGTTTTGCTTTTTCAATCTTTAGTAATTAAAATTTTTATTTGTGAATATAGCAAAAATTGTAAAGTGAAAAATATTTATAGAAATTATCAAAAATACACAAGTTTGATGGTGATTGGTGAACATCGTTATTCAATCGCACGTCTTCTTTAGCTCCTAACAAGTAACATCAGCTAATGGCGATTATTGAATGGCGGCGGCAGAGAAGACGGCCACTCGACGGCGGAGGAACTCGCCGCCGTCTATTCTTCAGGCCATTGTATTCGAGAAATTTCAAGAGAACAATTCTATTGGCTGTGGTTTTCTTAGCCATCTTCCCTCCTCTCTACTTCCATTTCAAGCTCAGACGAATTCGTCAGATTGTCGCGCAAAAATGCGATTGGCTTCACCATCCTCCACTTGTCTGTGCTCACGGCGGCGATTCCACCCTCGCTTTCCCCAATACTGTAAAACTCTCTCGATCTCTTTTATTATCTTCTTCACACTCTAAAACCTTAGTCTCTACTCTTCTCAATCGTAGATGGATGCTTACAATTTTGCTATACGTTCTCGAGTTGATTGCATCGAAGTAGATGTTTCTCGTTCCTCCGATGGTGTTTTATTCGCTCTCCACAACAGGTTACAGACTCTGATCCTTGTTGTATCCTCTTCTTTTGTTTCTGTGTTTGGATTCTCATCGGAGTTATTATTCATCTTCTGATCACACGCACAGTCAGGGATCTGCAGCGTATTGCTCGTAACTCGTCTGTTCAAGTTGGAGATCTGAGTATGAAACAGGTCTCCTCTCTTTCTCTCTATGAATTTACCAGCTTTTGGGATGTGCTTTGATGAACCTTTTTGTAGATCAAGGAACTTGATGTCTCACAAATTGTTAAAGGGACCTTAGGAAATCATAGGATTCCTACTCTTGAAGATGCTTTAGCGGTATTGTCTTTAACGTTGCAACTCTTCTCGTGCTTTGTTTTGTAATTGCTGTACAATGACAAGTGCTTGAACCTAATCTTTATCTTCAATAACTATCTAGTTGATATCGAATTCAGTCCGGAAAGTGATTCTTGATGCGAAAGTTGGACCGCCAATGTATGAAAAGGGCCTTGCACAAGACATTCTTTCTGTTGTAAGTACTATGTTATCACTTATTAGCTCTTTGTACTTGTAAAGCTTTAGTACAATGTGCAAGAGATCTAGTTTGCCCCTTATCAAGATCTGCATCATAAAGAGGTTCTGATTCCTTGAGAGCTTGCTTAATCATCTCTCTCCTTGTATCTCTGTGTACACAGACCTAGAACTGCTTATTATAGATACTTGAAAAAACAGAGTATGGATAAATTGTTGATGCTTTAATGCTGGTATTTCTGGCTTTTCCTATCTGAATCGTCAATCCTCTGTTGTTAGATTGAGAGAGTGCAGTGCAAGAACTGCATCGTATGGGCCAAAAGCGACACTTTGGCTAGAGACATAATCAGGCAAGCACCAGATACTACAGTAAGTAGAAATTGGTTATTTCAATAGAGAAGTTGGGAACCAGTTTCTTGCTCATTCCTTGTGACTGTACTTATTTTATCTGGCAGGTGGGATACATTGTGATGGTGGATCATTCGACTGGGGTGAGAAACAACCTGCTGAGAATGAAGGGAGCTAGAGTTGTGGGAGTCTATCATCCCTTGATCGATGAAGAATTAGTTAGAGTTGTTCGTCGGTAAGCAATAGGTTCCAATGTTTTCAATCGAAAACACACACCCAGCAATCATTTTCCATGTGTTTACAACCTTGCTCGATCTGATCAACAGGAGAAACAAAGAGGTGTACGCATGGACTGTGGATGATGCTGATCCGATGAAAAGGATGCTTCACTTAGGTGTGGATGCTGTTGTTACGAGCGATCCATCTATGTTTCAGGGTCTCATGGAAGATCTTAGAACTGAGTGTCTTGAAGAAGGCTTTTCAATACGGACATGAAATTTTACTTTTCGAGCAACAGAGAACTGATATTAGTTCTGTGTTAAGACACAGTAATCAGTTTGAGATCAACTTAGCAGTTTTAATACGATTCGAGCACTCTTAAAGATTGTAATACTAACTCGGAAGTTTTTGACAAAGATCTTTCTTTATGTTGTTTTGCTGAACCACAAGTTTCTGACAACTACACACTACGAGCCCTTGATACACAGTAAGACGAGTCTTGCTCAAGAGAAGCAAAGTATTGGTTCTTGATGAAGCCACTGCTTCTATCGATACCGCTACTGATAATCTGATCCAGGAGACTCTGAGGCAACACTTTTCGGACTGTACAGTGGTAACAATCGCACACAGAATATCTTCTGTTATACATAGCGATATGGTCTTGCTCCTAGACCAAGGTCGTGACTTTGATAATACACTTTTATTTAAGTTTAAATAATCAGAAGACTTATATTAAATCTGTTTATGTATCCTAATTGGCAGGTCTTATAAAAAAAATGATTCACCAGCAAGATTACTTGAAGACAAGTCGTCGTCATTCTCAAAGCTTGTGGACAGCAAGTTCTGATTACAAGTCCAGAAGAAGCGGTTAGAATCAAAGATCCATAAAAATGGGATCAAACAAGTTTGTTTATCATCTTGTCTTTGTCGTGTTTCAAGGTAGTTTGTGATCAGACGTTTTGTGCTTGACTATTGTAGATGATGAAACTTCCATGACAGTGGCATAATTAAAGTGGCAAAAACAAAAGTTGGACAAACACTCGTCAAAAGATAATAAACTTATCACTTTCACTACAAAAAGTAATATTGAGATGAGAATGATGTTGTGGGACAGCCATTGAATGACAAGAACATAGACTTATCACTTCCTTGCAGCCCAATCCTCTATGAATCTTCTTTGATTTTCTCCCAAGAAATTTATGCAGTATGAGACTACTTCCCAAATATTCCAATATTTATAATATCTTAACCCAAAAAAGATTCAAAATTTATTTGTGGGAGCAATGGAATGGCTTTGCTTTCGCCTTGAAATGCTATCATCACTTACATTTGTCTTTTCATTGGTTGTCTTGGTCTCCATACCTACTGGAGTGATTGATCCAAGTCTAGCGGGATTAGCCGTGACTTATGGACTCAGTTTGAATACCCTGCAAGCTTGGCTGATTTGGAGTTTCAGTAATCTTGAGAACAAAATCATATCGGTAGAGAGGATTCTTCAGTATGCAAGTGTTCCCAATGAACCACCTCTTGTGATAGAATCGAACCGACCTGAGCAATCATGGCCTTCACGTGGTGAAGTTGAAATCCGTGATCTTCAGGTATCTATCTATAGCTTGCTCATATCAAGATTTCGTGCTATAGATCCCGCACTAGTTTTATATTCCATCTTAATCATTTGGAAATTTTGACACATTGTTAGGTCCGATATGCTCCACATATGCCTCTTGTGTTGCGAGGAATAACATGCACTTTTAAAGGAGGTTTAAGAACAGGAATTGTTGGAAGGACAGGAAGCGGGAAGTCAACTTTGATACAAACTCTTTTCCGCATTGTAGAACCTTCAGGTGGAGAAATCATGATAGATGGAGTGAATATTTTGACCATTGGGTTGCATGACTTGCGTTTAAGACTAAGCATTATACCCCAAGATCCAACTATGTTTGAAGGAACAGTGAGAAGTAACTTGGACCCTCTTGAAGAGTACACTGATGATCAAATCTGGGAGGTGCGTCGGTTCACTCTTTTGTTTTTTATTTTTGATGATTACAATGTTCTGTCTTGACTAATATTTGCACTGTGTTTTAGGCTCTTGACAAGTGCCAACTAGGAGAGGAGGTGAGAAAAAAGGAACAAAAGCTCGACTCATCTGTGAGCGAGAATGGAGAGAATTGGAGTATGGGTCAGAGGCAACTGGTGTGTCTCGTGAGAGTTCTTCTTAAGAAAAGCAAAATATTGGTGCTTGATGAAGCCACTGCTTCGGTTGACACTGCAACTGACAATCTGATTCAGAAAACATTAAGAGAACACTTCTCAAATTGTACAGTGATAACCATTGCACACAGGATATCTTCAGTTATTAACAGCAACATGGTTCTGCTTCTAAGCAATGGTTTGTCTAAAAAAAAAAAAAACTCATCAAATTCATTCAGTTGAACATGTATGCTTTATTGAGGAATGTCTTGCTTTATTTTATTTGCAGGAATCATTGAGGAATATGATACGCCAGTGAGACTACTAGAGTATAAGTCGTCATCTTTTTCTAAGCTTGTGGCTGAGTACACTTCAAGATCTAGTTCCAGTTTCGATTGATATAAAAAACGGCTATTTTCTAGGTGACTGATGACAATGAAAACAAAACTTAGGAAGTCTGAATCTGTTTCAGCTGGAAAGACTTATCATAGTATATGGGATAAAACAGAAACTTTAATGGTTTTCTTAATTAGTATGCAAAATTCTTAAACTACATCTAAACTGAAACAGATGAAGTATACTTTAAAAATATATATAAATCTAAACAGATTTTTTAGAACATTCTTTTGAAATTATATATAATATTGTTAAAAACTTAACAGTTCTGATTTAACCAAGTGAAGGTAGAAACAACATCAAAGCATCAAACTTGAAGGAGAAATCATTGTTGGCGAATACGAAACCGTTCTTTGTCTAAAAAAAGAAACTTGATCCCGATGATTTCTAATACTTGGAAAATAGGCTGCCGTTAGACCAAGCATCCAGAACTTTTCATGTAACTGGTTGGTACTTATAAATCCAATATTAACAGAATATATTCTTGTTGTAAACTCCAAACGACCAAATTTGAACATTCTAGCACATCCGATACGCACAAACGGTCATTCAGATTCCACATTTCTATACTAGAATCATATCTGGTGTAACACTCTGGTAATAATATCCATCGAAATTCTTCGATGTGAAGATCGATAGCTAGTAGCTTTGCAAGTGTTTGCCTATAGTCACATAATGTCAACCAAAAGAAGGATCCGTTTGCGTAGACTGATGTTTGCTCTTTGCTGAAGTCATGGTCATTGAAAAGGTATAAACCTGCGCTTCTTTGCTTACCATTATCCCTTGGCCTTGAAAAAACGATCACCTTTTCCAAATCTTGTATATATCAAAACCACCTTATATGATTTTGTAACAATATCTTTGCCAAATCCAGCAAGAAACGGCATTCTCTTCACTAATTCACCTTCATATATATATTAGAGAAAGATGATAATATTATATTTGATAAATAAGTATATAATATATTTATTACTATGTGACTGTTAAAATCCAACTCTATAATCAACCATCCTATACTATTATTTGGGGAGTACACTTTATAAGATGCCCTTAACTAACCTTCACTTTTGTAAAAATTTACTTAAGAATGCCATTACAAAAATCTTCTTTTAGAACAAATTTCATTCAATTTATTAAGGATAAATAAGTAAAATACTAATTTATGTCATTTAATTAATTTAATTAAATTAAAAAACGAAAATATGTTATTTTATTTTTTTTAAATGACCAATCAAAATGAACATATAAGATTTGATATCTAACTTACCATATTAATTTGTTATTAATCATTAAACTTCACCTCTCATCTTAATATGATTATATTAATATGAAACAAATAAATCATCATATCATCTACATAATAAAAAAAAAGTAATTTTTTTTCTGCATGTGCCAAGATTTGAATTTTTTAAAACGCATATAGATTGTTCAATCTATAAAGGAAACAAATAAACGGGTCAAAAATTTAGACTTGAGTAATATATTTCTTTTACACAAAAATAAAGTCAACCAAAATCCGGACTGAGCAACGGGTCAGAATTTGAATATTTATATTCGATTTCATACATTTATTTGTTTGAAATGTATAATTTTATAAACTACAATAAAAATTTAAATATTTTAATTTGCAACATTTAAAATAAGTTTTACTTGATATTTTTAGAGAATATCATCAATACTTAATAGTTCAAAAAGTTGAAAATTATAAATACTCTAATTTGATTATTTTAAAAAATATTTATAATAGGTAGCGGGTTAAATATAATATATTATATGATGAAATGGGTTTTGATCCTTATAACTATTTGAATAGTTATATTTAATTTCATATAATTTGTTTTTTGAAATTCATAATTTTATAAACTACAAAAAAAATTAAAGATTTTAATTTGGAATATTTAAAAATAGTATTTGAAAATTTGATTCCGCAAGCAATTTTCGAATTAACGAATAATAGATTGTGCACGCAATATTTTAAAATGAAATATCGAGATTCTAAAATAAAAATATAGACTCCACGCACGGGTTGATTTTGGTATTATTATATACTAAATATATGTCTATAACATATTCGATTATGCGAATAATTGGTAAATTCCGTAATTATAAATCTCAAACAAATTCTGTAATTAGATTAGCTCAAACAAATCTCTATTTCAACAACCAAAGAATTATAAATTGAAAAAGAATTTTCTAAATTAATAATAGCTAATTTTCTAAATTAATAATAGCTAATTTTCTTAAATAATTCAAAATAATCTATGTTTTATATGCGATTCATTTATGATATTTTAATTTTTGATCTAACTGAAATATATGCAATCCTTTTTTGTGGCTGTTAACATAAATTAACTCATTGTTAAAAAATATTACTTTTTAAAAAATAAAATTATTTTCCGTTTTCATATCTTAAAAAAAAAAATTATCCATAATTGAGTATTATTGGAAAAAATTCAATATTTATTCTAATATTATATATAGGGACTGACAAAAAAATTAATATTTTTTCACTTACTATTATAATATATTTAAACTTAGTTCTAATATATATATTATATAAATTTTGTAATAAATAAAATTCAACCCGTACTTTAGTACGGGTGATGATCTAGTAGAAAATAGAACAAGAAAGCTAACGTACCATCTGGTGGATAATCCAAGACTCCTTGATCAACTTGTCTCCATGGTCTATCGACCATTGCGGTAAATTCGAATCTAAAAGTTAATGGCCATTGCTTAAATTCGGGATAAAGTGTCATGCGTTCTCCAGTCGTCGGATTGATCAAGTAAATGTACCTAAAATCGTCGTAGATCCGAATCAAGACCAATCCATCACAAGACCCCAATACTTGAATAGTTTCGTTTTGAGATTTGTCTACTGGATCATCAGGAAAACTGTACTAACTAGAAGAGGAAGGACTGTTTTTTCCGTTGTTGTTGTGATCATCTCTAGAAAAATTCTCCAAAAGCAAAGTTGTTGAGTTTGAATCTTCTTCAACAAAATTTGCTGAAAAATGTCGACTAACATAAAGAAATTTCATATTAGGGGTTGGTAATCCTGTACGAACGAGTCGTTTGTGGGAAAAGTAGGTTGATTCAATCGTCGATCTCCATTTTTTTTGACAAGACTTTGAATCTAGCCAGTGATTTTATTGGAAGATGTTGAAAGATCTCTTCAACCATATCCTCTGATATAATCATTGTCTTAGGATTATTATGTTTGTCATCCTCCATTCTTTTAGATAATTCTTATTTCTTAGTTTAGAATTTGTATATCTATATATAAAGAAAATAATGATCTAATCTTGGATCTTTAACTTTAGATTTAACATTAATTGTGGCAAAAAAAGATTTAACACTATCAATTTATTTTAAAATAATGAAGAGTAAATAAATAAATGTATATATATATATGCTATAAATAAATAAATGTTGATTAATATATGTATATATTACTACTAAAAATTATGAAAATGAGAAAATTTATGATTAAATATGCTTTCATTTAATTTTCTTTAGCTTGTTGATAACTAATCTATTTTTTTAGTTTGTCCAAAAAAACCTAATCTCTTTATTTGAACCTTGATAGATTTTAAAATTTCATCTACAAAATTCTCGAAAAAGTTTGTTATCTACTTTTACTTATCCTAATTAACTAGATTAAGACCCGTCCGATGTGCATTAGACCGTGGTTTACAACAATGCATTTATCTTCCATTCTTTAACAATTAATCACCTTCAACAATGCAAAACTCTAAAGTCTAAACATTGCATAATGATGGTTCAAACTCTTTTCCCCTTGAAGTCTATGAACACTCCCAAGACTGCCTCCCGTGGGGTTTGGAAAAACATAGAAAATCCGTTTTATTCTTTGATGCACAAGCGCCATAGCACACCTTAAGAAGATATCACAAGTTTAGTATATTCTCAAACTTGCGGATGTTAGAAGGGTAATGTATGTAGAAACTCACATTGTACAAGGCTCCAACATGAGGAAAATGTCATAACCAGTGCAGAGGTACGGCCTTTCCATTGAAGGATCTCTAAGAGTTTCTTCTCCGCTGTCAATTTGGACCTATCGGTAACTCAAAAGTGTAAGAGAGAATGCTGTACTAGTCAAAGATTCAATGGAAACAATGGAAGCATGCCTAAGAGGATGGCATTGGCTACAATTTTCTGTGTCATGCGGCTGCAAACTCTATTGCCAGGGATTCATACAAGCAACAACAGACAATGAACAATTCTTTCTTTCAAGAGTGTCATTTAAGCATATTTCCCCTGTTTCCTTGAAGGGCCTGGTATTTGCGCTAGTCATGTCGCGAGGACCAGATGATGCATAAACTTGATCAGTTTCACTAGCTATTATTCGCCTAACTAAAGGATCAACTATCACTGCAGCATTTACAAGTTGAAAAGTACATTACAAATGTGGTAACTTGAGATCCTTTTCTATGTAATTAAACCATGCAAAATCTTAATTACTGCCAAGAGAAAAAGGATTGAGGCGCTAAAAAAAGCAAATGGAAGACTTCAGATCGACGTTATGTAGATCAATGGAAAATACTTACTGGTTTATGACCAAATACTGCCATATCAATAACAACTCTCACGAAATTGTAGATCCATTGTTTGTCCTCCTCTCTGAACCCACCGATGCCATCTATATTGCTGTCGTTGCCAAATGGAAAAGTAAAAATCATTGAGTGTTGCACTATAAACAAAGACATATATTGCTATCACATTGCAAATAAGAGCACTAATAGAAATTATCAAGAAGTAGGATTATTCTAGAACGACTAAAGCTTAGCTAATAAAAAGACAAGAAAGGTAATAAAGACTCCTTTGGTCACAAAAAAGATCCAAGAAACCAAAATCTAACAAAAAGACATGGAGCTTACTATACTTGCTTGTGTTGCTTGTGCCTGTGCGAGATTTGGATTAGGGCTTTATCTTTATCACGAGGATGCTTTGTAAAAGGGTCATCTTTTAACCATGGGAAAGTATATAAAACTCAGCGAAGCTT